CCCTGTACAGGGTTTCCGAGGCTGTAAATCTTTACGGGAGCAGAAAGCCTCATCTTTCTCCCGCGGAACAGCTGGTAGTTTCGAACTGCATATAGCTAATAGCAAAATTAATTAAACAGATATTTAGTTTTCCTGAGTAATTTTTATAGCCAGTATTACTGCAACCTCCCGATATAATGAACCTGTAGAAATGATGTACTTATCAACAGAGGATTTCTAAAACACTCCAAAGGAACTTTTTGCTAATATCTATTCATGGTTTTCTCAGAGACCAGACTCTACAAATTAGCAAGGAAGATGTCTTTAGTAAACTGTGTTTTTTAAAACGATACTTACTCATCTAATTATAATCCTTCAGTCTGAAAAAGGATAAGAGGAAAATTGTATGTCCTTGCTCATTAGTCTAACCAAATTCTTGTCAAAGTCTAACAAATACAAAAATGTGATAGTTTTAAAATTATGTATGCCCAGATACTTGACATAGAATTTCATAAAGAGAGGCAATAACTAAAGTAAATGTGGTTTGGGAATTGCAAACATATTTGATAAGCATATAAGATGTGAACTTTGACAAATCTGATAAACACATAAATCTTCCTTTTGCCCTAGAGACCGGTTTTAGAGAAGATCCAATCTCGATAGTAAGTCACTCGTGTGTAGACGCCAGGCTTGTTTGGAAGAGCACATTCATCTCCCCAGCTTACAATACCTGCAAGGAACCAGGTACCTTTAGAATTTGCACTAACCAGAGGTCCACCAGAGTCACCCTACAAAGAAAAAAAAAATTATAAAATTACTATAAAGGAGAATACTACATACTTTTCTCTCTTGTAGTAAACTGTGATTAGAGAAAGATGGATGGAAAATAATGGTAGATATTTCAATAGTAAAATGATTCTATCTGGGATATTTTTATATTCCATAATAATTTGTTCAAGTCAAAGAGTTCAGTATATGTTGTTTGATAAAACAACACAAAATGGGAAGGAATTGTGAAAAATTTCAACTCAGTACCAAAGGAAATATTGAAGGTAGTTTTGTTTATATGATCATCAGAATGTTAAATAACTCTCTAATTTCCCCAAACTCCTCTGTTCTAGACCAATACCAGAAAAAAGGAAGATTGGTTTTTATGCATCACCACTAGACTATTGTTCTTCCATTCTTGTATAAACATTCCTTCAATTTTCAGAATTATGTAATTTGGCTAAATCCCCTTTAGATTTTATTATAATTTTCACACTACTGATGTTAAACTGTTTTTCTAAAATGAAGTAAGATGCTGGCATCTGGATTTTCTTTTGTTCTAATCCTTTGCATCATCCAAGATAATTTCAACATCCATTTATTGCTTTAGCTTTATAATCTTTTGGCTTCCTTGGCTCTGATGATGCACACTTTAATTCCATCTTTCCATGTGACTCCTTGTCATCTCCTAGAACTATTTAACCTCTGAGATGCCATAATCCAGTGAGTGCACTGATTTATCCCTACAGTTCTCATTCCACTTTTCATTTTACATGTGCCAGTTACCCTCATTAAGAATGTCAGTTTTTTGACTCAGCACTCTTCTCACAGTGTAATTAGCAAACTTCCTACTTTTCATCTTTCTTTATGCAGGCTGTATTTCATAATTCATACCACTGCTCTTTTGACAACATTCTCACTCCTGATATTCTTTAAATTTTCTACCCACCATAGCCCTGGCCAAAACATACACTATGAAAGAAAACTGTATTACAACTTTATAGTCTAAAACCAGCAGCTCTCAACATCATGTGTTTTTGGATAGCTTTCTTTCTCATTTTACAGGACACCCATTTCAAAGTTTTGTTATTTCACAAGGAGCTCTGGTAGCATATTGGTTATGAATCAGGCTGCTAACCTCAAGGTTGGCAGTTTGAAACTACCAGCTGTTCTGTGGGAGAAAGATGAGGCTTTCTGCTCCCGTAAAGATTTGCAGCCATGGAAACTGTGTGCAGGGTCACTATGAGTTGGAACTGACTCCACGGTACATAACAAGAACAACAACAACAACAACAAGTGACAACCTTTCCACTTTTTGTCATCTCTTTTGACTTCCCAGATTGTGTACATGAACTCATATTTGTTTCTAAGTTCCTCCTTCTCAAGACAAATAGACATATTTAGTGCTTTTAGTCCTGTGTGGTGCTGTAGGATAAACATTGGACTACTAACCGTGAGGTTGTCAGGTCAAACCCACCAGACACTCCTCAGAAACCCTATACAAGGTCATTATGGGTTGGACCCGACTCAACAGTGCTTAACAATAACAGCAGCAGCCAGTTGTGAGGAGTTTTGTATTGTCTACATTGAGGTGCCATCTCTGGATCAAGTACCTTATGCTATCAATAATCTTCTCTTTCATGTTTGTTGTTATTTTTAAAATCACTTTAACTTTTCCTCACTGCCTTTCCTTGCTAGACACATATATAATTATTTGTTTTGGTCTTGCGTACCTGACAAATGACACTCTTCCTGGACCTTAGGACTTTTTCTACTGACATAGTCATCTTTCTTAAACTAGTAATATATAAATTAGAACTGACTCCATGGCAGTGGGTGGAGTCCTGGTGTGGCGCTGTAGGATAAGCACTAGACTACTAAACATAAGATTGGTGATTCAAACTCACCAGCCACTCCTTGAAAACCCTATACAGGGTCACTATGAGTCAGAAATGTCTCAACAGCACTAAACAACAATCATGGCAGTGGGTATACTGAAATTTCAGTTTTTTTATGTGATTCTCTTATTTATTTCCAAACATTCTCTCTCCTTTTTTCTGGTATTGGTCTAGAACAGAGGAGTTTGGGGAAATTAGAGAGTTATTTAACATTCTGATGATCGTATAAGCAAAACTACCTTCAATATTTCCTTTGGTAATAAATGAGTAGAAATTTCTAACATTTCTTTCCCATTCCAAACTAAACCCACTATTGTTGAGTTGATTCCGACTTATAACAGCCCTATAGGACAGACTAGAACTGCCCCATGTTGTCACTGTTAGGTGTAGTAGAGTTGGTACCAATTCATTACAACCGTATGTACAAAAGAATGAAACACTGCCTGGCTCTGCATCATCCTCAGAATTGTTGCTGTATTTGAGTCTACTGTTTTGTCAACCTATCTTGATGCAGGTTTTACTCTTTTTCACTGACACTCCATTTTACCAAACATGATGTACTTTTCCAGGGGCTGGTTCCTCCTGATAACTTGACTGAAGTATGACATGTTATTCTGGCTTCTAAAGAGCATTATGGCTGCACTTTTTCTAAAACAGATTTGTTTGTTTTCCTGGCAATCCATGGTACTTTTAATATTCTTCTCCAACACCATAAATCAAATGTATCAATTTTTCTAAAGTCTTCTTATTCATTGTCCAACTTTCATATGCTTATGAGGCAATTTAAAATCCCATGGCTTGGGTCAGGCACATCTTGGTCCTCAAACTGATACCTTTGCTCTTGAACATGTTAAAGAGGTCTTTTGCAGCAGATTTGCCTGTTTGATTTCTTGACTGCTGCTTCCATGAGTGTTGATTGTGTATCCAAGAAAAATGAAGTCTTTTCTTCATTTATCATGATATGATTTATTAGTCCAGTTGTGAGGAGTTTTGTATTCTCTACATTGAGGTGCAATCCATAATGAAGGGTGTAGTCTTTGATCTCCACCAGTAAGTATTTAAAGTCTTCTGTGCTTCCAGCAAGTAAGGTTTATATCATCAGCATATCACTGGTTGTTAATGAATCTTCCTTGAACTTGATGCCAAGTTCTTCTTCACATAACCCAGCTTCTCAAATTATTTTCTCAGCATACAGATTGAATAAGTATGGTGAAAGCATACAACCCTGTAACACACCTTTCCTGATTTGAAACCATTCAGTATCCCTTTGTTTTATTCTAATGACTGTCTCTTGTTTCTATATACAGTTTCCTCATGAGGACAAGTAAATGTTCTGAAATATCCATTCTTTCTTATATTATCCATAGTTTGTCATGATCCACACTGTCAAAAACTTTTGCATAGTCAATAAGTACAAATAAACACCTTTCTGGTATTCTCTGCTTTCAGTGATGAAATCCATCTGACATCAGCAATGATACCCCTAGTTCCATGTCCTCTTCTGAATCTGGCTTCAATTTTTGGAAATTCCTTTTCAGATATACTGTTGCAAAAAGTTTTGAATTATATTCAGCAAAATTTTACTTGCATGTGATATTAATGATATTTTAGATGATTTCTGTATTCCATTGGGTCACCTCTCTTTGGAATGGGCACAACTATAGATCTCTTCTAACCAATTGGTCAGGTAGCTGTCTTCCAGATTTCTTGGCATAGATGAATGAGTGCCTCCAGGGCTACATCAGTTTGTTGAAAGATTTCAATTTATATTCTGTCAATTCTTGGAATTTTTTACCAATGCCTTTAGTGCACCTTGGACTTGTTTCTTCAGTACCATCTCTTGAATTGGCTGATCATCTACCATTTCTTCTTGGTACAGTGACTCTTGTGCATTCCTTGCATCTTGGTCTGGTGCTTCATTCATCTGCATCATTCTATATTTTGCCCATGTTGCTGTGTGCCGAGTCAGTTACAACTTATAGCAACCCTGGTAAGTTTGAACTATATAGATCTTGTGGTTACCAATCTAGTGCTTTTGCTACACCACCACACCAAAGCTCATTTCACCCATTCAGCTCTTTAATATAGCAAGTTGTGGCTTGAGTTTGTTCTTCAGTTTCTTCAGCTTGAAAAATGCTGAGTGTGTTCTTCCCTTCCAGGACTTTGTGCATTTCATTATACTTTGTCTTCTTGAGCTGCCCTTTGGATGTTTCTGCCCAGCTGTTTTACTTCATTTCTTCCATTTGCTTTAGCTTCTTTACACTCAAGAGCAATTTTCAGAATCTCTTCTGGCATTCATTTCTTTC